TTTATATAATAATTTATATAATAAAAAATATAAAAATCTAAAATTAATTAATAAAATGATTTTTATGTTTCATTTATTATAGATAAAGGAAAAGTACTTTTATACTATAATGCGATTAGAGATTGTAGAATAATCAAATTTTATAGAAAATATAAATACTTTAAGTAACTTAAAAAAATTAGTATTATTACAAGAATTAATAAGATTCTTTTTATTATTTATATATAAATAAGTATTATATATTTTATACAATCAATTCGATTATAGAGAGTTTATTAGAAAATATATAATAGAATATATAATAAAATATATAATATAACATATAATATAACATATATATTATATATATAAAAGATTTTATATGTAAATTTTACTTTAATAATATACTAAGAATATATATTACAATTCAATATAATATATTATATGCATAACTTGCTATCTATTTCTGACAATAATAATAAAATAAATTTACAAAATAACTATTTATAAAAAATAATTCAATTCAATAGAATTTTATTAATAATCTTTTTTCAATATTTCTTATATTCTAAATATATTAGATATATAAAAAATAATAAATTTGATATTCAAATAAGCTTTTTATAAAACTTGAATTAATAAATAATAATTTTGTTTAATTATAAGATATTTATTATTTTCTAAATACTTTAAAAAATACAATAGAATTTATAAAAAGTAATAATATTATTTTCAAAAAAATATTTCCTATAATAAAGTTTTTATTATAATATTTTAAAAAGAGAAAAATACAGTTTATATTCTTTATTCTATATCTCTTTATTCTATATCTCTTTATTCATTTATCCTATTTATATTTAATTATATTTAAATTATTTATATGAGTAAATCATTTTTGAGTTCTTATATTAATAATAAATAAATAAAACTCGAAAAATACTATTTTTTTATTAATAAATCATTATATTATATTATTATTATTATATTCAATCCCCATTAAAAATAATCATTTCAAAGAATTTTGAAAGGAATCTTATTTATTATAGATTGAAAAATAAAAAAATAATATCAAGAGATTTTGAAAAAAATATTATAAATCAAATTTCGTAGATTCATTTTAATTAATATTTAAAGAAATCTTTTCAAATATATTAATTATATATTTATAAATTAAAAAGATATTTGATTATTTAATAAATAAATATATAAAATATCTTATTATTTCCTTTTTTAAATATATTTAATATGCTTTTAAATAATAATTTGATTTTATATAATAACGATTATATCCTAATTTAAACAAATAATATTTGATTTACTTAATATTCCTAATATATCTATTTTTATCAAAAAAAATTTATAAAAATTATTATTATTATAAAATAAAATAAGTTTTAGACCACAATTATTAAAAGAATAAAATACTAAAAATTATAATTAGATTTGAATTTGTAAATAAAAAGTAATATAGAATTTAAGAATTTAAATGAATATAAAAAAAAAATATTCTTTTCAATAATATTTTATTATTTTTTAAGTTTTATTAGGATTAATTTTGATTTTAATATTATCTTTTATATATTTTCAGATTTTTATATTTCAATTTTCCTATATATCTTTGTAAATATCCATTTTGAATAATATCTATAATAATAAGTATTCATCTTTTTAATATATACTATTTATTATATTAAAAGCTTTATACACGTCATCATAATACTATAGTATACTAATGCCTACACTGGATAAGCATACGGGCATGTATGCAAACTGATAAATTTGTTTCATATAGGATAATTAGAATTTGGAACAAGAACTTCGTTTCCATATATATAGGGATATATATAGAACCTGTAACGGTCACAGGTTGCTTGGCTCGGGCGGGCCTAATTATCAAGTGGGCTCAACGGTTCCTGGAGATTGATCTGAAGCAGTGGTTACATAGATTCTATCACTTATAGGGTCAGTATCTCTAAAAATTTATATACGATCATGGAAAGAATTTCCTCCATGTCTTGATTACATTTGTAAGTCTTCCTACTAGCTCTTCAGAAAGCTTGGCGCCAAAGTCACGAGGGTGGTCCAAGAAAAATGGATTATGTACAAAATACTTGTTACCTTTGAACCAGTCATACATACCCCTTAGGGCTCCGGCGTCGAGCTAGTTACGTATTATATGCCTATTCAGACTAGCAGTTTTCTCTGTCCAGATCCGTGTCTTTCGGAGATCGGAGATTCTCTGTCCAAACCCAGCTACATCTTCTTCATATTGTTCCCCGCATTCCTTGTAATGATTTCGGATAGGGTAATGATTTTTCAATGATCCCACTTGTAAGCAGAGTCATTCGACGTTTACCTAGGTAGTTACTAAGGTGTCAATCTTCAGATTTGTTATCAACTCTCATCCACTCGGAGATTCTCAAGCAATGATTATCAGCAGATTGATTTGACAGATACTGAGAGTCTAGAATCATACTTCTATATAATATCCCAATGACTATCACTGATATTATTCCGCCTTACTATGGTGGCATCAATGTTTGATTCCAGAAGCCTCCTCGGCAAGGCCGCCGAAAATTCTTTGATAATGTCTCTCGTAGGCTCTTGTCGCTTCCAAAGGAAAGCTCTGTGAAGAACGTCATTGGCATCGCTATTAGCAGTGTCTCTCATCTTGTCTCTTACTACACAGTCGTAGACTTCATGAACAACAAGTAACTGACAACTACAAAGCTTCCCCGATTGCAGCATATCACACCTTGCCCAGATCTCGACACATGTAAGCACTCCTCACTTCAAATGAAGCATATTGGGAGTTTGAAGCTGTCATCTAATGCTTGATACAATTCAATTGCTATCAATATATCCCATGACCTACAGCCAGTAACCATTTTCGCAATACTAAGTTGAAGATTGCAGTATTATACCTGCCACACGACATGTGTAAAATCTTCAATGTCCTGCAACATTTCGATGGGTCTTTCTATTGCTGCGAAATGGCCACCCTTATTATGTGTTCTATGAAATACCAAATTCCCTCGCTTTGCAATCGCACTTTCAAACCCCGGGTTTATTTCAACAGTGAACCAAGAGAATCCGAGACGCTTGACAATGTAAGGAAATTCTGGCACAGGTTCGACAGATTTGTTAAATATTGGCGGATAGGGGTAGATAGAACGCGGGAAACTATTCGTGAACCAGTACAGTGAGACATTGGTCAAGATCTCATCAAGAGAAGGAGTCTGGTCAGACCACTCTATAAATTTCTCACCGATCCTTGAGTAAATGTTAGGGACTGCAGGACTGATCAAAGGAGAATCACTGGGAATATCTCACCATGCCAAAAGGGAGAGTGGATTTGAATTAATGGCAAGTCCGATCGTCGCTGGACGAGTACCGTGTTCGATGGCATAACCGTTGCCTTCTTCCGCCCAAACTTTAGCCCTCTCTATAACTTTCTTCTCAAAGCTAGACAACTCCTTTCCATTAGAACCTTCTTCAGGAATGGTAAAGGAGGGGAAGAAGTTTACTACAAGAAGTCTTAGCGCTCTATCCTTTCTATTTGAACAATACAGGACAACTCACAATGCAAAGCGACACATTGCTTATAATTAACTGCCATTGTTGTCGCAAGAAAACTGCCCACGTCTCCACCATGCGCAATGTACTTCTCAAAACCCAGCTCTATCATTAACTTGTGCAAGACTCGAGCTGAATCTGACACGCGCCATTCCTTATCAAGAGGACTCCCATCGCTGAGGGTGTATCCTGGAACCGATGGGATGATAACATGATATGGCAGGTCTTTTGGTGAATATTTCTCTCTCAATAGAGTTGCCATGGGGAGGAATTCAATGAAGCTGCCAGGCCAGCCATGAAGCAAAGTAATTGGCACAGCATCCTCCCTTTCCGAAAATAAGGCTACAAAATGAACGTTAAGACACTCTATCTCGATGGTGTAATTGGGAAACGAATTAATGTACTTCTCTTGAGCGTGCCAGTCGTACTCATGGAGCCAATAATCTTTCGTTTTGGTAATCCACTCAAGCGTAATTCCAAACTTGGGGCCGTTTTGTTCAGTTGTTTCATAGATAAGAGGACCAATACGGGACAATTCCAGGAGCTGTCTAAACCTGGCAAAGTCCTCATCCAAGATTTCAAGTGTAAATGGCTTGATGGAGCTAGGCAATGTGTAAGCCATGTTTGAAGATGGTAGTGTGACAAAGGTGGTAATTAGAAATTTTCTGAATCGGAAGTGTGTGTCAAAGGTGGTGAATAGAAAAGTTCGAGTAGGAGGAAGCTCAAATTTATAAGGAACTCAATCAATCATACTCATCGTCCCTGCATGAGGCCACGGAATGGAGTTAAGAATAACAAAGGCCGTGGAAAGTATAACTACGAGCTAATACGTTGACTCAACGCGATTGACTGAGATGGGAAAAGCGTACTTCTCAATTCCGGGAGTGCATGACCAGATCTCTATTTCACCGCCAGTACCGACAGGAGTAGGGTCATCAGGATCTCGAGGCAGCTGATATACAGGTTCTGTCCACTACCCAATTTCCTAACGAAATGGAACTTTCCATGGTGCCAATTCGCAACCCGAATGTATCCTTCCTGTGGGACCCTGTTACAGGTACTTACCCCATCCGAATCCATGGTTCTCCACAATGTCGGCAGCGAAACCCTGATAAGGTCGCGACTCGACTATCATTTAACGGCCGACTAGACCGGAGCCTAATAATATGAGATGCTTCAAGCCTTACCCAATACCAACATACCTCCGTGTATTTAATCTAACCAATTTTCACATGAGCAATCAATAATGGCAGAGATGTACTACAAATCATGACACCACATCGAAAACTGCTTGACAACACTAATGCAGCCAGCTTATTTCCAACTTATTTTTAGCTAGAAAGGGTTAAAGCGGGGCAATGAGTCAAGTAAACCTTATTCTATCGCAAAATTGGCCGTACGCTAGTAAGGATTTATCATTTAAGCTTAACATGGGCTGGATAAACATCAAAGATGTGTAATTTGATTGTTCAATGAATTATTCATAAGTTTTTTGTAGCAATTTATAGTTTCAATCAAGTTTAGACTACTTCTAACACCAAACTGATGATATTCCCTACATAGATGCCGGCTGTACTCCCCTCAACGAGATACTAGCCCTCACTCTCACTCCATCACCAACATCAAAGTTGTCTTGTAGTGTCATATCCGGCGCCTTCTGTAAATCTTCAAATGGTATCTCTACAGCGCCAATCTCTGTCTGTTCATTCATACATACAATCCGCACATTTCCAGCTGTTATATCTGCAGAGGTGACTGGAATACGAAAGTTTTGATCAAAGGTCGGATTGTTGATATCTGTACCGGGTGCATCTGTTTGTACAGCCGTCTGGAAACGGTGTTTGCTGCCCCAAGTCACAACTACACTCGGCTTCAAAGATTCTCGCTGGCCTTTGATGCCGAAAGCTCCTGCGACAAGTACATGGAGGATTCCGCACATGAGGCCATCGCCACTATGACTAGACGCCGAGAAGCTACTGCTATCCTCGGCAGTAAACTGGAAGAATTCACATGAAAGCGCAACTTTGCTGTCGCTCTCGGAGCCCTTATGCAACATTCCGAGCTCTTGCTTACCGCCAGCCAGAAGGATATCCTTGACGGTGGTGACAGCTACACCGACCTCATCGTCGGAATTCAAGTCATGATCTGACACGACAACTTTAATGCGTTGATTGAAATCTGATACCACGAAATCATGCGTCTCGCCCCACGCTGGAGTTGTAGTATTGTTCTTGGTCGTCGTCCTCCATGCTTCTTCAGCACCAACTTCGATCTCAGCATAGCAATCCGGACTCGCCCTTGTCAACTTAGAAAACAGCTTCTTGGTCTTGGACTGAGACTCCTCAGCAAAACCCCATGCTTTTTCTGCAGTGATCCGAACGATGCCTAATGGCTGATGGTAAGTCTTAAAATAATCGTTGTTTGCGTCAAGTTTAACAAAGATACGGTTTGGCAGAACGACCACACTGTTAATTATACCAATCAGCACCTTGCGAACAGCGTCGTCGATAAGGGACAAGTCGGCGATGTTAGCTGCGCCGGTAAAGTTTAGTTTGAGGTCCGGCGGGTTTATGAAGGAGATTTGGGTGGCACCGATCTAAGGGGAGATTTAGCATCGAAAAGCTGGATTGTTCGACTTTGGTGTGTTATAATGTGCTACTTACCAATGGGATGATATTCGTAAGAGGACATAGCAGAATGGAGAGTCTGCCGTTTATTATAACTTCTTTAACTCCCTGTTGAACGATAAGCTATCCTGTGAAATTATGTCGGCCGCTTGTTACAACGTACAACTTTAGGCATCATGTTTCCATCCAGTTCAATATCACACTGGCCATCCCAATCTACATTCAAGTCAAGCTTGATACCATCATGAGCAGTCTTTGTAACCTTGATATCGGAAAACTTGATTGGTGTGGAGCCAAGCTCGATCTTGGTGAAGTGTAAAGTCGCCAGCGGACCAGGGAGCATGGTCTTGAACATAGGCTCGACGATGTTCTTAACCATTTTGCTGCCGGCAACCTCGATGTTGGGCCATAGCTGTGCCACGATATCGTTCAGGAAGCCTATTCAATTAAATAGTGAGTCAGTTCTTATTTGTTTAATACTCCAGCAATACAATAACTAGTATGATTTAGAGTCACTTTCGACATACCGGCAGACTCTCCACCGCCTTCAGTCGTCAATTTTTCGATGAGTGCGGACATTTTGGCGCAAGAGTGCTTATCGTTTTACCAACTTGAGCTTGCGAGAACAAGTTTGAGGTGGTGATTGAATCTGGAAGCTCGTTGCGGCTATTGGATCAACTCTTTCTCCACAAGATCCAAGATATCAGGTCATTATATAGTAGAGGGGAAGTTAATGTGGTCATTTCTCAGGGCAAGCGTGATAGGATAGTTGTCTGTGGCTATGTGGATGTGCAATTACATCAGCGTGCACCACGTCAGTGGTTGTGGCCACGTCGTGTGGGGCGGATCCAATCGGAATCAAGCCAAGCCACCCGCCGAGATTTTAACCAGGACAAGAATCAGGTAATTTATTTGGTAACTTGAGCTTAGACTCAAGCATAGACCACAAATATCTAGAACACATTCTATGTGATCCAACGTTTTCTGTAACTCTTTCGTGCTGGGAATTCAGTGCATTGCTTGTATTGGTATACTCTGTATTTCATTCATAGATGATAACTCCACATAATGTATGTACGTCCATGCTATTAACTTTCATTCTAGAAAGAACAATGACTGGGAATTGTATTTCTCAAATGGAGTTATTTTTTGACTGATGGGCCACCTGAGATTATCACATATGGAAATAAGAATACAGCAAACTATTTGTACAGCAAAAACTCCCAATATCTCATATCTCGCCGAAGGATACTCGGACCAGGGCCGAAGAAATATTGCTGAAGATGTTGTGTGCACCGATATCTGCTATTTCCATTGTGTTCACAGCTACGATAGCAATAATACGAAAGATTTGAGATTAGCACTTTCCCTCATAGATCAAGTACAACATTACCATAGAAATTGGTCTTTTCCCTCTGCGCCTTCAATTTATTTCTGAACTGCCACTGTAATACTTGAGAGGGAGTTTAGAAGAACATAGCTGTAAAAGTTGTAGTAAAGATTAAGAAAGACCCTCACAAAAGAGAAACGCTGTTACACATGAACGACAACTTTGGAAGAGCACCCTTGTGTCGAAGAGTACCATTACTAATCATAAGCTTAGTATCACCAGTGGGTGCACAGACTCACGGGACACTTAAAAGGAAAAGCACAATTTCACACCAAAAAGAGCTGTTTTGATAATTCAATTAAAATTCAAAAAATTGATATTTGACTTTGAAATTAAGAATTATTATTTTCAAATATAAGAATTTTATATAATAAAAGTTTTATTTCAAAAAAAAAACAAAATTCAAATTTATAAAATCGATTATATAATATCCCATTAAAAAATTTAATAGGAAAATATATTATTTGATTTTTAAATTCAATATTTATTTTTAAAATTCAATCTTTATATATTATATAAATCTTATATTTATAAATTATATATTTTAATCTAAATAATATTAAATAAAATTTGGAATTTTGATTGAGTTTTGAAATTAATAAATTTGAGTGTGAAATTGTGCTTTCCTGTTATATTGTCCCGTGAGTCTGTGCACCTACTGGTGTATCAAAATGCTCCCTGAAATATGCTTTAGCGACGTCTTTGAAGGGATTTACAGAGTGAAATTTTCACGCATGATCAACTGATTTTATCGTAGAAACAAAGCAGGCCAGAAATAAGATCAGTCTCACCCTGTTCCTTATTAATACCAACATTCCGATGGTTGTACTGGTGAAATTAAAAGCCACTACATTCCTTCGGAGCGAGTACGCATGAATCTCCTCCGGGCGTCTAAGTTTTTCCGCTATACGAGTGAGTCAGGCGGGTTCAGGCCTAGTCCTCGATGTTCATTTGACTATCATCAAAAAAACATTTTGTATATGACATGTGAGATTACTGAGGTTATATTCTTATTTGTCATACAGAATGTTATTGTATCAAAAGCTCAATCAGTATGAGGCTATGTATCTTTCTCATCCCCTATCGACAAAGGCGAACACTACTGATTCAGCTAGCATGCTCAAAGATAATCTCCCAAACTCTCTCAGCTATTTCCCACAGCTTCTAAGCATTCTGAATATTAGAGGTTACGTTTTATAATAATAAGAATAATTATTATTACAATAATAGTAGAAGATCTAGTCAGTTTAAGCTTAAGGGATAAATCGAATATATATATTAGAGTTGAATTGAAGTCAATTTATAAGAATTAGGCTTGTTTTTAAATTAAATTGCTTACTTTTTCTAGGTTTTCTTTAAAGAACATCCTAGATTTATATAGTTTATAATGAAATTTTAGTATATCCTATACTTATAAATAAGATCGATTTAAATTAAATCTTATAGAATTATTTTATATAATAAAAGAAAGTATAATCAATCGAATTTAATCAATTTAATAATAATCTTCTATATGTTTTTATTTGGTTTTATTTTATTATAAATCAATTTAATAAAAGATATTAATAAGTAATTTAGTGGATTTATTATGGATTTTTATATACCCCCTTTAATAAGTGTATTAAATCAGTCTTATTATATATCTTAATTTAGATTAATTTGATTCATGAATTCGATTAATTTAATGTGAGCTAGTGGCTTAATAAGCTCATTAGTCTTTTAATTATTAGCAGATATATATATTAGATCGAAATTCCTCAATTTAATAATATTTCTAATATAATAAAATCTGATTACTATATACTTACTTTTTTTATAAAATATAGAGTTTTTAATAAGCGCTAGTACAGTCTGATTGTTTATATATAAAGGGAATTTATCTTATTTATATAAATCAAACTCTAATAATAGCTTTTTAATATAAATAGTCTTTTTAACAATTAGATTTATAGCAATAAATACTAATTCGATTGTAGAAAGAGCTACAATAGGCTATAATTTAGTTTCCAGCTAATTAATCCATTTCTTAGTATAAATATATATCCGCTAAGTGGGTTTATATATATTTATCTCTTTTTTATATTTAATATTATAAAAACTTTAAATATAAGAATTATTTATTTTATTATAATTTGTTTTTTTATTTATAATTCCTTTTAAATATCTTAAAACGTTTTTAATAACTTAAATATGCTTCATACTAGAATTAAATAAAAAACTAGTTGATTTGGATATTAAAAGAACAATATTTAATCTAATTTTAAGAGCTAAATATAATAAAGAGTCTTTAATCTCTTAATATAGTTTGATATTATTATTATTAGTTTTCTTTTTTTTATAAATTAATTTTATTTTAGGATTCATTAAAATAAAAATAGAATTGGAATCTAATAACGTAGTTTATTAGTGCGTGCACTATATCAGTATATACACTACTTCAAAATTACACTAAAATCAATGGTTTTCTAATATTCATATTTTATTAATTAATCAATATTTCTTAAAAATAAAAGAAGTTTTAATAATAAATAAAAGTTTAATAACCAAAGATTCAATTTATATATAAATATTTCTATTATATTTTATCGTAGATCATAGGCTAGTAGTACTATTATAGATCATAGGCTAGTAGTATTATATAGAAGCTAGCTTGGTTTAACAATTAAAATAGATTATATAAGTACTATAACATATGATATTAAAGAATCTATATATCGATATTCAATTTCTTATTTTATATTTAATAGGGAAAAGGTCTTATTTTATACTTTTTTTTATTGATCTAGCTTTTCTGTTTTTGTTAATCTTTTGTAGACCACTTTCTAATTCGGCTATTTTTTTGAAATAAAGCTTTTTTTTAAAAAAAATTTGTAATCTGTTTTCGGATTTATAATTGTTTTCGTATTTGTGACTGTTTTTGAAAGCTTATAATCGACGATTATGTGATTTGATTATATAATACGCTTATATTAGGTTGAATGCTTTCAAAAGATATATATACACTATATTATTTTTATTAAAACAATATATTTCAAAAAAAGCTCAAAATGTCACGGTTTTCATTATAAAAAAACTATTTCAATAATAGCTCCTTTATTAATATGAATTTACAAAGATTAATTAGATTTTTGAAATCCTTATATATTCAAATATTTTATTTCAAAATTTTAAAAAATTCTATTAATAAATAAAGAAAGTATACGATTATACACGAACATATTTTATATGAAAAAGGAGTAGTACATGTATTGATATGATGTACGCACTAATAAACTATATTATATTGAATCTAACTAATATCTTTTTAGTATACTCTGATTAGTATAGCTTTAGTATATTATTAATTCTTTTAATTTGAATATCTAAATAGTTCTTTATAAGATCTAGATCCTTCAAATCGAAATATTCTTTTAGATTATTAATAAATTCATTAATAATCTCTTGATTTAAAGCTATTATAATAATATTATTAATATATATATTTAGAATTATATTCTTATTTTTATTAATAAAAATGAATTCGTCAAAAATCAGGTCTGTAAAATCTAATTTATTTAATATATCTTTTAAAATGTAATATTATATTCTAATTAATTATTTTAGATTATATAATACTTTATTTAGCTTTAAAGCTTTATTCTTTAATTGATTAAATTCTTCTAATAGATTTCATAATAGTGGTATATTAATATTACCTTATACAAATACTACCACTATATTAATTTTATGAATTAGCCCATTATTTTGAAGGGCTAATACAAATAAAAGCTTTTAAACTATCGATTTAATTATTAATATATATATATATATTAATATAATCTAATCTATATAATTATTCGAATCCTTTAGTAACAAATCTAGCTTTGAATTCAATAAATTCATTTAAATCCTTTATTTTATATACTCATCTAATTTTTAAGGTCTTATTATTAATAGAATTATTAATAATACTTTAGGTTTTATTTAATTCTAAATATTTATTTTATAATTTATAGTTTTTAACTAATAGTCTTTTTTAATAAATTAATAACTTTTTTATAGGATTTAGGTTCAATTAATATAAATTTTATTATTAATTTTAAGTTTAATATTAAAAGCTAATTAAAAATCTTATTAATCTATTTCAATATTTATTTTCTTACTAATTAAATTGAAATATTTGGAAAAAGCAAATCTATAATAAAAAATT